AAGGGCAGAGGCCAGCTGAGCAGTCAGAGGAGGACCCAGACCCATCCCCTCTCCATCCTAAGGCACGCAGGGAGGAGAGGATAAGGGAGAGACAGGGTCTCCACAGGAGGAGAGGGCCTTGATCCTCTTCATGGGCTGCAGCTGTGACAACTGAATAAGAGGACGGACATGCGTATGGGCGAACGCTGGAAACAAAGCGTGGAAATATCTCTAGTTTATGGTTCCTTTCTGACTTTGGTGTCCTTCCCAGTGTGTGTTGTCTGTGGATGTCTTCCAGCATTTTAATCTGAATTGTCTCAGTTTGCATCCATAGTTCTCCTTCCAGCTACTATCTTGGCATCTAATGGGCATGTGCTTGTTTGTGAATGAAAGGGGTCTGGAAAGAAGAGGGCTGAAACTGGCAAAAATAAATGTAAGCTGCCCAAAGTCGTATCTTGCCTGGTTTGTGTTGTTTTTTTCCCTCCTTCTGGTAACTGCTTGTGTGGGAGTTTTTTGTCTTCCATCAAGGATATTTGGAGCTAGGAAGCAAAGTGAAGGAATAAAAGGAGCTTCACCGGGTTTTTGTGACTGTGTTTATTTTGTATTCCCCCCTGGGTCATCACAGCAGTTTTAATTATTCTCTGTAGAGCTTTTTTTGTCTGCTACAGAGCTGCTCCCATACCATGCAAGAATGCTATATGTCAGGACACTCTCAATGGTGATGAGGTAGTAGGACAGAAGTAGGTGCTGAGATAGATTTATCTTCCTGAGCATTCTCAGGAAGTACAGCCTCTTCTGAGCCTTCTTTACAAGCATGTTAGCATTCATGGTCCATGAGAGGAGGTCCTTTGAGGTATAAGTGCCCAGAAATTTAAAACTACCAACCCTCTCCATCTCCTCTCAGCTCAGAGCCACAGTTGGCCACGAGTAGCCGATGACCAACCGTCCCATGTACCACAGCTTTTGTGTGTTTCAACTTAACTATGCCAGGAATGTCCATTGGTGTAGTAGAGTCTCCTGCTTGGGCTGGGGGTGGGGGTTGGACTAGATGACCTACAAGGTCTTTTCCAACTCTGTTAATCTGTAATCCAGAAACATGAAATGTTCTTCTCTTTTCTTAAGCTCTCAATGAAGGTTTAACAAATCCTGTGTTCATTTGCCTATGGAAATTCTCTGTCATTCAGATCATAGTTGTCCCAAAGGTGCTTTTTTTTCCAGAAGGCAACTGGACTTTCTGGTTTTCCTTTGAAGAGGTTTCACTTCTCATCCGAGAAGCTTCTTCAGCTCTGAAGAAGAGCTCTGAAGAAGAGCTGAAGAAGCTTCTTGGATGAGAAGCAAAACCTCTTCAAAGGAAAACCAGAAAGTCCAGTTGCCTCCTGAATAAAGCACCTTTGTTCATTTTTATAACTACAACTGTTATTTAGATTATCATTCTGTTTATTAGGTCAGAAAAGGTATAGGGTCTCCTTCTTGAGCAGGGGGTTGGACTAGATGACCTACGAGGTCCCTTCCAACTCGGTGTTATTCTATTCTAATTATTACTATTACTATCTATCTGGCCTTTGAAAGCAATGCTGGGAGATGACTATCTCTGATCAATCTTATTTGGGCTCAAACAATAATACATTCTGATTTTTCTACAGAAATAAGGGGCACAAATCATGTGGACCCTGGAACGCTACAACCATCATTAATATGAATCAATTGCCAAACATCTTGCCAAGAGTATTATTTATTTATTTAATCCCTTTTCCTAGGAATTGAAGGGCCCTTGATGCTCTCTGAGCTTGTTGGTTTTCTTGCAGACGTTTCAATACCCAAGCAAAATAACATCATCTGTGCACTGATGGTGTTACCTAGTTAGGTAATAAAACGTCTGCAAGAAAACCAGCAAGCTCAGAGAGCATCAAGGGCAGAGGTGGGTATTCAGCAGGTTCTGACCAGTTCTGGAGAACCGGTAGCGGAAATGTTGAGTAGTTCGGAGAACCGGCCAATCCCACCTCTGACTGGCCCCGCCCCCATCTCTTCTCCGCCTCCCATTGAGTCCCAGCTGATTGGCTGGATCTTGTTTTGTTGCCCTGCCCAGGAGAACAGAGCTGGAAAGCAGGTTAGTGGGGTGGGGAGGGAATGGGGATTTTGCAGTATCCTTCCCCTGCCACGCCCAACTAGCCACACCCACAGAATCGGTAGTTAAATATTTTGAATCCCACCACTGGATAAGGGCCCCTCATTTCAACCCTGAGCTATAAATATTCTCCTTTATTTCCTAGGATTTACTGTCCCTGTTGTCTCTTTTTTGAGGATAGATTCATTAAGTATGCAAACCAACTTATCTATTACTTCATCCACCATCATATTTACATAGAAAACTGTTTTCATCTATCAATTTTCTTAGCAAATGCCCACAATCCATCATATTTGTCTTTCTCTAGTGACATGTGCACCAAATATAGAATATGTTTGCCTGATGGTTTACAATGTATTATATTAGTGTTTATTTCTTTATATTTCATTCCAGTCCATTGCATTTGACTCCATTTGACTATTTTAATCCATTGCATTTCGAACCTGTTTCCTAGATTATTACAGGTGTGGGATCCAGGTGTGTCTCATAATAGATATTACAGCCAAACATGTAATGTATAAGGAATGTAACTGTCAACAAAATTTAGAGAGGTTTATATTTATATTTTGGATGTAGCTGTCATTTTTCACTCTAGCTGTGTTTTGCTTAGTTTTTAGTATTAATTTATCAGTAGATTTAAATATTTAAAAGTGTGCTAAAAGTCTCAACATTTTCTAAATATAGAATACAATTATTTTAATGTCAAAGAGCTTTAATGGTGACCTGAAAGTGATTTACTTGCTTTGTTTTATTTATTAAACAAATTTACATGGCCAGCTGTCTCACAGAATGTTACTCTGGAAGCATGCAACAATTTATTTAAATAAAATAGAAAAATTTCTGTAAAATACCTACTACATCCATGGTAATGTTGCAACTGCCATGATTTGGCAATTGCAAAATCTTAACTCCATGATTTTATCCGTTCATGTTTTTATCTGCTGTGGGGTGTTTTTATTTTTAACAATGGATAATTTTAATGTTTTGCAATATTTTTATGTTATAAGCCTCCCAGAGCTGGATACGAGCTGGCCTACAAATAAATTTCATAAATAAATGAATAACTGCCAGAATCCCAATATAGCACCATATTTTTTAAATGCAGCATGGAATATCCCGTTTACAAAACCTGCATAGGCTAACAAGCCCATGGCTATGTGGAATGAGCATTACATGAAAAGTTTTACATTGGTGTTTTTTTGAAAATGTTTAGGTTTTCTTAGATTGAGCTTCTGCTCTTTTGCTTGTAAATCTTTCCTTTAAAAAAATCTATAGAAATTGCTCTTGGAATTTTTTCCCCCCATAAAGGCTTACTCCTAAAATGCTATAGCAGTATTATATATACTGTAAACTCTTACTGATTAAGTCTAGGGCAGTGGAATGTTGATTGAGCTGATAAAAGTTGGCATTCAACCGTTTCTGGAGGACCGCAAAGTTTTCAGTCTTGAAACAAATCAATCCCACCAATGCAGGTATCCAAAACCATCTTCTGAAGAATGGCTTGCTAATTTTAAAAAATTGAGGGGGCTCCAAGAAAGTCAATCACATGAATTTTGATATGGACGTATGACAGGACTGTCTGTAGAGATTCTCAATCCTCCAGGTCATCCACAATGCTTTTTTCAAAAGGCAACTGGATTTCCTTTGTTTTTCCTTGAAGACTTTTCATTTCTCATCCATTCTTCGGTTCTGCCCACAAGTTCTGTCAGAAGTCAGACATGAAGAAGCTTCTTGGATGGGAAGCAAAACGTCTGCAAGGAAAAACAAAGCCTCTCAATATTTGAGGGGCTGCCCCAAAGGGGAAGGGGTCAAACCTATTTTCCAAAACAGCAGGAGGCAAGATAAGAAATATTGGATGGAAACTGATCCAGGAGAGAAGCAACCTGGAATTAAGGAGAAACTTCCCAACAGTGAGGACAATTAAGCAGTGGAACGGCTTACCACCAGAAGTTGTAGGTGCTTCATCACTGGAGAATTTTAAGAAGAGATGGACTTGTCTGAAATGGTATAGGGTTGGACGAGAAGACCTCCAAGGTCACTTGCAGCTCTATTCTGATTGATTGATTGATTGATTGATTGACTGACTGACTTTTGAAAAAGCACCTTTGGGACATACGTAAGAGAAAGTTTTGTTTTTCTGGTGTTTATTCTTCCCAGAGTTAAGGACAAATATAAATGCCTTGAAGACTATATCTTGTATTCGACATCAATTGATATTTAAACATCAATCAGAATAGAGCTGGAAGGGACCTTGGAGGTCTTCTAGTCTAGCCCCCAGCTCATGCAGGAGACCCTATACCATTTCAGACAGATGGTTGTCCAATCTCTTCTTAAAGCCTCCAGTCATGGAGCACCCACAATGTCTGGTGGCAAGTTGTCCCACTGGTTAATTGTCCTCACTGTTAGGAACTTTCTCCTTAATTCTAGTTTGCTTTTCTCCTTGATTAATTTCCATCCATTGCTTCTTGTCCTGCCCTCTGGTCCTTTGGAAAATAATTTGACCCCCTCTTTTTTGTGGCAGCCCCTCCAATACTGGAATATGGCTATCATGTCCCCCCCTCGGTCCTTCTTTTCTTTAGACTAGCCAAACCCAATTCCTGCAAAGGATCTCCATATATTTTATTCTCCAGGCCTCTAATCTTCTTAGTTGTTCTTCTTCGCACTTTTTCCAAAGACACAACATTTCTTTTCCTTGTAATATGGTGACCCAAACTGGATGCCGTATTCCAGATGTGGCCTTAGTATATGCGCTAAGGCTGGGCAGCTTCAAAAATTAATTTTAAAAAATCCTTTAGAACCTTTGTCACTCTTTCTTTAGAGCAGCCATTTATTTATTTTTGGTAAGTTTCCATACAAGGCAGAAATCAACTCTCAAATCAATTATTATCTTCACCAGGTTCTGATTACAAGGAGTTAGATGTTCATCTTCGGAGAATGGAATCTGGATTTGGCTTCAGAATTCTTGGAGGAGATGAACCGGGGCAGCCAGTAAGTGGGTTCTTGACAACTTTATACGATTGGTGTCTGTTTTGTCAGGAATATATACTTGGACTAGCTTGATACCCATGCTTCACTATGAAACTGTGTGATCAGGCTTAGTTTTGGGGGAGGAAAATAAGAGGGGGAAATTCTGTCTCTGCCTACCAGCATCCATCGGTATTCATCTGGCTAGCATCTTGTCAGTGTGTGAGAGAGTTGTGGGCTTTTTGGAAACTGTAAGAGTATTTGCTGTGTGAGCAAAGAAGGAGACAGCAAGGAGCCTGGGCGTGGCTTAGCTCAACTGTTCTGTACTAAAGCGGCTTAGTGCTGTGAAACTGAAACTGAAACTGACACTCCTCTCCTCTGCTTGGAAATCTCTGCACTTGGAAGAGATTTCTTTTCAGGTGAGAGGGGTAGTAGAACTCCTTAGCATCAGAGCGTGTTAATAATAAGAATATAGGAAATATTAATGCTCTGATGGTCATTTTGAAAAAACCTTTCTTAGTGAGCCCCTAGAAGCCAAGAGGAACATACGTGCCAAATTTCAAGTTTGTAGATTTTACGGTTCTGGAGATTTTGTGATGATGCGTGAGGGGTATTTCGCTTTTATATATATATAGATTATGGCGGTAGCAAAGTGGCATCTTTTTTAACTTGTTCACATATTGAAAGAAGCAAGCCTCTCGAGGGATCACCATCTCCATCTACAAGCTGTCATTGCAAATCAGTCTGTACGATGTTACCGAGAGTGTATTGTCCGTCTTTTTACACGGCTCGTGTTTTTTTTCTCCTTCTTGGCATCGTTGAAAAGATTCTGATTTACAAGCTCTTGCAAATTGTCTTCAGGTAGTATAAAGCCCAGGTTTGGCAACCAAACAGCACAACTGCACTTCAACATTTTCAGAGAAAATGAACATTGTGCATTACTACACGGCTCTGGAAAAAAAATGATTGCTGGAGAAGTATAATAATGTTGGGATTTTGAGCTGTGTTTTACTGCTCTGCTCATCCTTCATTCTTGAAAACCGTCAGTCTATATCTTGAGACTCAATTGCATTCTGAAATTCATAAGGCCATGATTTGCAGTCGTCGTTCAACATTGCAGTGCCCAATCAAAATGGAAACATTTTCCATGTTGGTTCCATCAATTTTATTTCAATCATGGAGCAGGATAGAACTAATAACACAACAATTGCACTAAAACAGATGTAAAAGTAAACATTTGTTCTATGGTATTGTCAGCCCTCCAAGGTAGACCAAAGTAGGAACCCAAAGTTACATAAGCTAACATTCAAAAGGTAAAGGTTTCTATGTCCAGTCATGTCTGAGTCCAGAGGACAATGCTCACCTCCGTTTCTTGGCCGAGGGAGCCAGTGGTATCTGAAGACACTTCCGTGGTGTTGTGGTTTGCCGGCAGCCTATGCAGACAGCAGCAGAATTGGACAGTGGGGAAGAACGGGGCCCATTCTGGGAGTCTGGAGAGGACTCAGACAAGGGTCCTGCATCTGATGCAGAGATGGGGCCAGAACTATCTGGGAGTGGGGTGCTGCCTTCGAAGAGTCTGGCAGAAGCAAGGCAGAGGACCGAGGGGAGCCTGTTATCAGTGTGTGTATGCTCACCTTCTAGAGCTGCTAGAAGGCGAGAGCAGCTGAAACAAAAGGGGAGACTCAGGAGTAAGGCTGGGAGGTGATTGCCCCTCCCATAAGGTATAAAGGACAGGCAAAGGTGACGAAACCTTTGCAGGAAGCAAAGTCATTTGTTCGGTTCAGACTCATTCTTGAAGCTCTTTGTACTTCGGTTGGTTTTCTTTCTAGTTCATTTGATACTTCTGTTATTGGCACCACTTCACAAAAAAGAAAGGTGGGTGCTTATCTCGAGGGACTGTTTGAGATTCATTAACAGCTGGGAATGAAAACAATTCCCAGTGTTGCAATAAAATAAGACTTGTTTTTAAAATAAGTAAGTCTTGGTCAGAATAGGTGGCCATGTGGGCAGCATGGCTATATGCCAAAGAAACACTGTTAACTTCCCATCAAAATGGTAGCTATTAATCTACTCACTTTTGCATGATTTCAAACTGGGTGGCCAGGAGCTGAGGCAGGAATGAAAGCTCACTCTGTCACCGGGTGGGGGGGGGCTGGGTCTCAAACACAGAATGTCAGCTGGCAAGTTCAACATCTTTAACCACTGAGCCATTGCACCCCCTTAGGCTACCATTACAATCTTGCAAATCTGAATAAGCTTTTTCCATCCCTCCCGTTATCTTCGTTTGAACTAGGGAAGGTCTTGTCTGAGATGGATACTTGGTTATAGATCTGGTCAAGACTCGGATTACTTTTATCTGACCATTTCTTGGTTGTAACTTTTCCTCCTGTTCCTGAAAGTTTTTCCTCTTATCCATTACTGTGTCAGGCACTGGCAAAATCAGGAGATTCAAGCAATTCAAATGAATACAAAGATTGATTGCAAGTTTAATCTCTCTACAAGAATCTGGCCAACTAAGAGTCAAGGAAAATGAGCGGGAGATAAGGAAGGCATTCAAGATGGGTTGGACTTACTGGTAGATCTCTTGTGATCATGCAGGGTCTCATGACTTATAACATGTTTGACCCCTCCCTCGGGCTCAGCCTGATCATCTCCTACATACTGATATATATAGTTCCAAAAAGAAGGGGGACAGTTGAATAAGATTGTTTGGCACAGATGCTGCCCCACTCTCTGTTTACATTTTATATTCGCTATTCTCTGAGACATACCAAGCTCTTAGGTTCCTCTTTGTCCTGACAAAGAGTAAAAGAATGTCTTTCTTCTCTTTTTATGTTATAGGTTTTTTTTTCCAAGGGTGCACAGGATTCTTCAGCCTAGAAAAAAACCCATATGTTGACTCTTTTAAAATAATGGGGAATAGAATAGAATTCTTTATTGGCCAAGTGTGATTGGACACACAAGGAATTTGTCTTGGTGCAAATGCTCTCAGTGTGCATAAAAAGAAAAGATGCATTTGTCAAGAGTCAAGAATCATAAGGTATAACACTTAATAATAATTATAGGGTACAATAAGCAATCAAATCAAACTAGGAAACAGTCAGTATAAATCATAAGGATACAAGCAACAAGGTTACAATCATACAGTCATAAGTGGGAGGAGATGAATAGAATAGAATAGAATAGAATAGAATAGAATAGAATAGAATAGA